TCTGTCTCAAAAATGAATAAACATTAAAAAAAATTTTTTTTTAATTTGAACTCTCAGCCTCTCAAAATGTATACAGCAGGCCTTCTGGCCTGTGCCCCCTGTGCAGTCCACACAGCAGCTCTTGGGGGGCGGTGAGTCTACAGAAAGTGTGTGCTCCCCAGTTCAGCTTCGTAGTGTATGAGACCTTTGGGCTTTTGAGTTGGGACCCTTTCCCCATATGGGTGGGAGGGGTGGTGGGGAGGGACGATTCTAGAAGCAAGCTTCAAGACCAAAACATTCAGACAGCTACAAACTGTATAGGCAATGGAGAAATAGGTATGGTTGTGTGAACTCAACGTAAAAATAGCACCAAGCCAGCATTTATTGAGCACTGGCTGTGTACCCTGCATGTGCTAAGTGCTTCACGTGAACTCTGATGGAACATTGGAACTGCTCACCACACGAGGACTTTTCTGTGTACATATGTTATGAAGGAAGTTAACACCAACTGTTGCATTCATGATACATGGGGGGTTTCTAGGGCTTTTGTATACATTAAATTGTTTAAATTTTTTAATGTTTATTTATTTTTGAGAGAGAGCGCGAACAGGGGAGGGGCAGAGAGAGAGAGAGAGAGAGGGAGACCCAGAATGCGAAGCAGGCTCCAGGCTCTGAGCTGTCAGCACAGAGCCCAACACGGGGCTCAAACCTGTGAACCGTGAGATCATGACCTGAGCCGAAGTCAGACTGAGCTGCCAGGCACCCCTATACTTTGAATTTTTAAAATAAGTATTGAAAAGAAGCAGCACTCAACCAGTAAAATCAATTTTTGATACGCAGAAGGGGGAATGATGAAGATGGCCTGAATTTGAATCCCGTTTTGTCCACTCTGGCTGCGTGTCTGTGGGCGAGTTATTTAACCTCTCTGTGCCTCACTTTCTGAGCGAGTCTACGGGAAGTGATTGGAATGATGCCTGGTGCTGGAGCATGCAGGAAGTGCTAACGATAAGGATTACATGCACCTGCCAAAAAAAGAAAGCGAAAAGGCTCATTGTTTGAGACCTGTCCGAAAGCACCTGTGTGTAGCATAAATTTCTTCTTCACTCCAACATAGGCAATCCTGATTTTATCAGGAAAATACTAATAAAGCCACTGTTCTGTTCAACTTCTGACCCTTGCTTTTTTTTTTTTTTTTTTTTTTTTTAATCATGCCTGGACTTCTTCATGATTCACCGAAAATGCCATTCTTTGACTTCATTTTGGAGACCAGTGGGATTCACTGTTTCAGTTGCTCCCTGAGCACACCTTTGAGTGTATTGCACTGTCTTCAGGCATCGCCAGGCATTGCAGGGTGACCAGAATGAGTATTCCAGCTACAGGGACTTCAGGTCTAGTGCAGGAGGGACAGGGATACCCCTGTGACCCTGAGCATGAGACCCAAGCCAAGGGGGCTCTCAGGAGAGGCCCGCCAACTGTGCTGGGGATACTTCGAGGGGGCACACTCCAGGAGGGCTTTCTAGAGGAGGGGGCTTCCCATCACAGAGGACCGGGACCTCAGAGCCCCACCCAGGCCTAGTTCATCTCTCCAGCCTCTAACGTATTCCTAGAGAGAGCTGCTATCGGAAGCCTCCTAGAACCCAGCTGTGCCCAGGAATGACAGGTGCCCCAGGCTGGCACCACACGCACCTGCCCACTCTGTCAGACGGAGGTCTGAAGCCACTGGGGACGGTCTACCCGCCCAGTCCCATTGCAGACCAGAGAGACCCGCTGGCAGCCCGCATGCCAGATGCGGCACACAGATGCGTTTGAGTGGCCCACAGAGTGGTTTCTCTGTATTGAATTATCGCAACATTTAAAACGCAGGAATTTCACGCAGAACTCCAGATTTCCAGCCCCCCTGCAGACTTTGGTGAGGCCGCAGCCTGAATTCTCCTGGGACAGTCGTCAGGAGGTACTTAGCAGGACAGCTGTGTTCTCTGGCAGGCCTCCCCCCCCCCCCCCCCCCCCCC